TCATCGGAGGTGCCGCTGCTCCCCCGAGCTGTCGCTGGAGAAGCCGGAGGTGAGGGAGTCGGAGGCGCGGGGGCCGCGCCGGGGTGCGTCGGGCGCGCCCCGTGCCGCGGCCGACCTGGCGGGCCCAGCGGAGGGTGGCGCGCGCGCCCTGGCCGCCGCGGCGGCGGCGTCGGCGGCGCTGGGCCGCCCGCGCCGCCTCTTGGGCTGGACGGGGCCGTCCACGGCGCCCGGGCTGGAGCCGCCCCTGGCGCCCGGCCTCGCCTCCGCCGTGAAGGAGGACAGCCCGCTGCGCGGAGCGTCGCCGCCGCCCGTCCCCGTGCCGCTGTCGGGGGTGGGGCCCCTGCCGCGCTGCCGCTTGGCGGGCCGCGCGCCGCCGGCGGGCTCCTTGCCCGCGCCGGGGCTGGCGGACTTGGGCGGGGAGGGCCCGGCGGCGGGGGAGGGCACGTCCACGTACTGCACCGCCTCGTGCCGCAGGGTGAGGTGCTGCGCATCGCCGTCCCGATACTTGATGCTGTGCTGCCGGGTCTTGGCGTCAAACCCCACGACCTGAGGGAGGGGCGTTGGGGGGCGGAGGGGGTTGGAAGGGGAAGAAGCTGCAGAGGTGGGAATCCGGTGCAGGGAAGGGCAAACACACAGACCCAGAGGCAGGATGGACGGGGTGGAGTGGATGCAGTGTCTCTGCTCCACCCTCTCTGTCCACCCCTCACCTTTCCGAGGTACCATTTGGCCATGCCCGGCCAGAAGACCTTGACCCTGCAGCCCACGAGGGCCTCGTCGGGGGGCGCGCTCTTGGCCGACGGGTTGGGGGCTGCGCCGGGGGGAGGCTTGCCCACCCACTGGAACCGGGTGCGAGCCAGATTGACCCAGGTCTCGGTCGTCTCGGGCCCTGCCCTGCCCCGGTACTTGATGGCATGCCGCCCCGTGGCGGGGTCGTGCCCGGTAATCACAGCCTTGGGCCATTCCATGAGCTGGGCCGACCAGATGGCCAGGCTGCGACCCACCACCTCTGAACCTGCTACCACCAGCGGCTCGCGCTGGCGGGCCAGGGAGGGCTCCGCGCCAGCCATGGCCTGCGATGGGTGAAAGCCACGAGCTCAGGGTTCCCGCGCGCCTTGCAGCGAGGGTGGGCCTTGCCATGCGAGGTGCACAGCGAGCGCTGCAAGGACGCATGGGGCGTACCACCAAAATAGCCAGCATCAGGAATATGCACGTACCAGAAGAGGTGGCTCGGACTTCAGGGGCGAACTGAGTCGTACGGTAGCATCTCGGCAGGTTGATCACTCACACAAGGCCGTTGTCGGGCTGCGCGCATGCGCCGCTTGCGAAAAGTAACCTCTTTCCGTCTTCCGACTGGCAGTCTTCGGAATGGGGAGGCTGCCAGTGTCGGGGTGCGAGTTGGGAACAGTGTCTGAACCTTGTGCCCTTCGTGCTCGGGCGCTCGGTGCCGCACTCAGCGGAGGCCTGTGACACGGCCCATCCGCGCACACGGTCTCGACCCTCGAAATTCAATAACCATCTTGGCGTTGCGCCACGATTCCAAACGTGGGTGCGCGCGGTTTCGCTGGGCAGGGTGGGATTCAGGTTTTCTTTCCTTTCCCGGCAACCGGAAGACGAGGTGTAGCACCGATCGCAGGACTCCCAGCCTTCTCAACATTGTTGAGGTTACCTACACCCAAGAACGACATGTTTTGTGCATGAATTTGAGATGTGGTAGCGAGGAATAGCCTGCTGCAGACGATAGACCTTGGATTCGTGGGTACGGAGGTGCCGTTGGGGTGCCCTTGAAGATGTGCGCTCCTCTCACCGATGCTGGACAGCTCATGCGAGCTCCGTGGCCAGCAAACGTCATCTGTTTATATGAACTGGAAGCCTGATTCTTTCTACCTTGAACACTCGCAAGAGGATGTGTATCTGTGCCTCACTCCCAAAAATTGTCCTGACAGCTGCGCAATGGGCGGGCTGGAGGCAGCCCTGAGGACTGCTGGACAGGGCCACCTCTGGGACCACCTGCTCACCCTCGATGGAGAGGTACGAACGGCTTTCCAGGTACAGCTGGAGGCCGTCGATTTTGCCCGCGTGCAGCGCATATTCCAGGCCAGCGTGACCATGACGGAGGATGCTGAGGAGGGCGTGGAGCCCATCGACGGCGTCCAAACCATTCAGGTGGGAAGTCGTGGGATCATGTATAAATGAGGCGGTGTTGTCCTGAGGACCTTTGGACTGGGCAGGGGCCCAGGTGCATCAGGGTGTGTACTTGTATTGTAATGCAGAGTCTCGCCCACAAAACCAGCCACACATGGGCAGTGGCCACTCCAGCAGGGCATGCGGCACCTGATGCTTGAGCTAGCCGCCCAGGATGATTGTCAATTGCCCCTCTGTTCCCCCTTTCTCTCTCATCGCAGGACACTACCGAGGAGCAGCGTGGGAAGTGGCGGGCGCTGGGTCTGGCAGCCATCGCCGGCGGCAGGGTCGCTGGCCTCCTCCTCGCCGGCGGCCAGGGCACCCGCCTGGGTAGCCCCGCGCCCAAGGGCTGCTATGACATCGGCCTGCCTTCCCGCAAGTCCCTGTTTCGGCTGCACGCTGAGCGCCTGCTGCGGCTGCAGCAGCTGGCCCAGCGGGAGGAAAGCGCGCCTCGACCATGCATACCCTGGTACATAATGACCAGCCCCGCCACGGATGTGGAGACCCGGGCCTTCTTCCAGGCGCACGCCTGGTTTGGGCTGGATGCCGAGCAGGTGTTCTTCTTCCAGCAGGTGCGCAGGGAGGACAGTTTTATGGGGGTCAAGGTGGTGAGGGTGATGTAGTGAGTCGTGTTGAAGCTCCCATGGGCGGAGGGTCGTGGCTGTGGTCTGAATCTGTATGTACCCAATGGGGCCAGAAGGCTTCTGAACGGCCGGCGACCTCTCTCACCTGCGCCACTCAAATTTGAGGACCCCCTGGTCTCGCCAGGGCGAGCTGCCGGCGCTGACACCTTCGGGCGAGGCCATCCTCGCCGCCCCCGGCCGGCTGGCGCTGAGCCCCGACGGCAACGGCGGGGTGTACGCCGCGCTGCGGCGCTCTGGCGCCCTGGCGGACATGGCGGCACGCGGCGTGGCGGCGCTGGACGTCTGGCCCGTGGACAACGCGCTGGCCGCCCCCCTGGACCCTGCCTGGGTGGGCGCGTGCCTGGCGGCCCGAGCCGAACTGGGCTGCCGCGTGCTGCAGAAGGCGGCGCCGGGGGAGCGCGTGGGCGTGCTGGCGCGGCGCGGCGGCCGCCTCGCGGTGCTGGAGTACAGCGAGCTGAGCGAGGCGCGCGCAGCAGCACGCAACCCGTCCACGGGCGCGCTGCGCTACGCCTGGTCCAACGCCTGCCTGCACTTCTTCTCCCTGGCCTGGCTGGCGCGCGCAACGGACGCTCTGGAGGCCGCCCCGCGCTTCCACGTGGCGCGCAAGGCGGTTCCCTGCCTGGGCGGGGGCACGCGCCCCGGGGTCAAACTGGAGCTGTTCATCTTTGACACCTTTGGCCTGGCGGAGGGCGTGCGGCTGGTGGAGGTGGACCGCGCCGCCCAATTTGCGCCGGTGAAGAACGGGCCGGGCGCGGGGAGCGACTGCCCGGAGACGGCGCGCGAAGCGGTGCTGGCGCTGCACGCCGGCTGGGTGCGGCGCGCGGGCGGCCGCGTTGGCTGCGGGGAGGGTGTGGAGGTGTCACCCCTCCTCTCCTACGCCGGCGAGGGGCTGGAGGACGTGTGTGGGGGGCAGGATTTTACCCGTCCCTGGGACGCACGCCTGCAGCTGGTGGGCGGGGACAAAGGTGGGCAGGGGTTGGGCCCATCAGGTAGGAGGGGGGGCCACCCTGCCATACTCAATATGGAGGGCAGGGACTGCTGGGGCCAGATGCACGTGTTGCACTGCCGGATGGGATGAGTGGGGGGATCCCTCTGTGCCGTCCTTTCCCTGATCCTCCACCATGGCTGGGGGGGCCTGGGGTGTGTTCCATTGCCCATAACCAGCAAAAGACAATCACCCATGTGTCGGTTCGAGTCATGCAGATGCCCAACATCAGGTCGTGAATCGAGGCGAAAGCCCTTTGCATGCACTGCCTTGCCGCGACTCCCGCCCTGATCGAGCATCCCCGGCACGCACTCACCCATGCGCACAGGGGCATAGCCAGGCGCCGAGGCGCTGCGTGGCACACACCCCGCTGCGCTCCACCCCTGGCTGGCACGCGCGATCAGCGCACGGGAGGATCCTGCGCCCCTTTCGCCCTCGGCTCCCCGCATGACCTGCGCCACCGGGTCCGGGTCTTGGTGACCCGGCGCCGCCCGGGGCCTGATGTCTTGTGTTTCTTAACCCACCCACCCGCCACGTGCCCACGACGGCACGCCCAGCTTGCTGACCCTTCTGCCTCGCATGGGTTTGGCGGGCAACCCGAGGTGTGTACCAAACATCATAATGTCATTCATCAACAGCCCATGGGACCCTCAGGCCTCCTCCTCCCCACCCTGCGTGGGCTCGTCCTCGGCAAAGGCTACCTTGACCATGCCCGCCCGCAGCAGCTTGTCGCCCAGCCGGAAGCCCTTGCGGAACTCCTGGACGACGGTGCCGTCCGGCACGCCCGCGGGCGCAGGCTCGCGCATGATGGCCTCGTGCACCGCAGGGTCGAAGGGCTCGCCCTCCCCCGGCACCGCCTCCACGCCCAGCCGCCGGAAGGCGGCCACCAGCTGGCGGTACACGGCGTCGTAGGCGGCCACCACCTTGCGCTCGCCGTCCGTGGCGGGGCTCAGCGCCGCCGCGGCCTGCTCGAAGCTGTCCACCACCGCCAGGAGCTCCAGCACGGTGTCGCCCCGGGCAGCGGTGCGCGCGCTGTCCCGCTCCGCGGCGCTGCGCTTCCGGAAGTTGTCGTAGTCGGCGGCCAGGCGCAGGTGCTGGTCGCGCAGCGCGCTCAGCGCGGCGTCCGCGCCCGCGGGGCCGCCCTCGCTCGCGGCGCGGAGGTGGTACTCCAGCCGCTCGGGGAAGGTGGCCGCGAAGGCGTCGGTGACCTGGCGCGTGGAGGCCACCTCCCGCGCCTCGGCCAGCAGGCCCTCTGCGTCCGTGGCAGAGGGGGGGTCCATCGTGGCGGTGGAGGGGGAGGCGCCGTCACCCTGAGAGAGAAGAAGGGAGGGGTTGGGAGGGGGGCGGAGAGGTTCCACGGGGGAGGCTGGGGCGGGGGTGCATGGCAGGTCACTCCCAGCACATCCTTAGATGCACACGCTCACCTCCTCGGCGCTCAACGCCCAGCTGGGCCTTCCTGGGGTTCTCAGCTGGGACGATCGAGGGGCTGCATGAAGGCATCGCAGGTGCGCGGTCCGTGGGTGCCGTCGGGACGCTGTGAAGGTCGAGCCTGCAGGCGCGCAGCGCACCAAGGATGGCACTGCTGTTCCCAACATGGTGAGTGCAAGAGGATGACTATGGAAGCATATGTTACTTGTCGAGTGCAAGAGACATTTGCAGGATGTCCCGACATGTTGCTCGGTCTCCTCTGCTGGATGATGGTACCAGAAGCGGGACTCTTGGGTACCCGTGCTTCGGTGGCCCTGGGTTGAAGGAATCCGCGACCATGAGACACCACCGAGTCTCAGGCCCGGGCAGCAGCATGCACTTTGAGACACTATCCTGTCAATTGCGATGAAACACCTGGATATCATCCATTCATCTCCTTGTGCATGATTGTCCATGTCTTGGGAGGCCAGCCAGTTGGTTCTCGTCGGGTGGGGACGCGCACCATCCAGGACATCCATGTGTATCTCCTTTTAAATGGGTGTTCCGCTGGAATGTATGGACTCTCAGCGCAGCGCTCACTCATGAGACTCCATTGCATTGAGGTGGCCAAGCAATGGTATCTGAAAGGCCAAAAATATGTGCACAAACCAAAAGTGTTCCCGGGAGGCCGCTGCTGCCGCCCACTATGCATCCCTAGGTTTTTGCGTCCTTGTCGGCATTCTGATACCTCCAAGACTCGTGCCCCGTGTTGGTTGACTCCAAGTTGTCAGCCTGCATGCCACCCTGGGTGGGGCTGGTCTCTCCATCCTTAAGCTCAGATTCCAGCGTATCCTTTGCGGATTGCTCTGCATCATTGTAGGTTGCGTCTCCCTGACCGACCGCCTTCTTCACGGTGTTCTTGACCTTGTCCATGAGGCTCTCCTCGGGGGGTGCCTGGCATGGGAGTTGCAGTGATTGGAGGGATGCATGAGCAAGGCGATCTACATGACTGCCCTAATCAACATGGAGAAAAATTCACAATTTGTGCCAAGCGATAAGACGTAGCAGATTCCCCGATTTATTGCCCATCAATAAGGTTACATGGCTCCCCACCGTCGAAAGGCAGCGCAAGAATGTCCGCCTCGCCGTCGAAACCTGTGTCACAGAGGCCTCCATGCGCAGCATATGCGACAGCATTTTGACACGATAAAGGTCGCAACAATATACACGGAATGCTACGGCGAAAGAATCAGCTATGTGGGGACCACCCATTGCCTATGGCGAGGGGGAAACCCTGGGAGGACCAGATTCATCACAGCTTCCTGCTGGGTCGATCGACGAAGATCGGAAACCCAGGGACACCCTCTGGCCCGCTCCCCCTGCATCAGCTTTGCGACATAACAACCATCAAACGCCTCTACTCTCATCCAGCGATCCAACGTGGGTGACAAGAGTACATCTTCCAAGATCGGCATGGACGTGAGTGACGCGTTCGTATGACCAGTACACTGCCCGATGTCCGACGGTGAATACCCAACCTTATTCCTTTTCTCCTTTCCATAGTCTCTAAAGGGCCTGGCAGGAAAGTACCTTGGCACTGGCGAGCAGGGAGCCGAGGGCGTCCATGGCGAGCCTGGCACCACGGCGAGCGGAGGCGGGGGGTTCCGCGACAAGCTGACCAACCTGGCGGAGGGCTACCTGAATAAGAAGCCTGGCCCCATCGACCCCAACCAGCAGGGCCATGCATCCGTAGCGTCGGCCGAGGGCGCCATTCCCACCCATGCGACTCCTGGAGGTCTCGAGGGGAAGGCCGCTTCCGGGCAGACCGGCCAGCCGGCCGCCGGTGCTTCCAGCTACATCGAGAAGGCCAAGGATGCGGCCCGGAGCTACCTGGACAAGCACCCCGTGGAGGAGGGCGGTGCTCCCAAGGCTGGCATCGCCGGGTACCTGGACAAGGCTAAGGTCGCAGCCAAGGATTTCTTGGACAAGCCTGCTGGGACAACAGGGTGGGTCAGGTGGTTGCTTTTGGAGATAGGGCAGGTTGTTTTGGGAGAGGATTGCGTCAGGTCGTCATTGCAGATAGCTGCATCCTACACCGCCTTGGTAAGATGTGCTCCAGCACACGTGTGTGTAATGAGCGATCTTTTGTTCGTTCTCAGAATCTCAATGTGTTACTGGCACAGCCATATTCTTACACAGCCACTGACCTGACATTCCAATGCATCCCTGCAGTGAGGCCGGTGCTGGAGGGCACGGCGGTGGGTTTGGAGCTCACACCCTAGTGGAGAAGCTGTTGGGCCTGTTCAAGAAGGAGGAAGGCAGGGAGCTGGAGCCTGGCAAGGAGAGCGACTACGGCAAGCTCTCCCAGCTGGCCAGCAAATACCTGGGCACTCAGCTGAGCCCCGAGACCCTCAAGGGCTACGTCTCCTCCTTCCTGGGCAAGGGGAAGGCTGGCGGCGCCACGGCTAGCAGCACCGCTGCCCCTGCGGTGCCTGCTCCTACGCTCTAGGGGCTTGCAGGAAGCCCTGAACCCGGCAGAGGCGCCGCTCCTCGAGTTTGAAGAGGCGTATATGAGAGACAATCTCGCATACCTCTTTTGCTCCCAGCTGATGTCTCCTTGGCAACTTCACCTTCCCATCCAAGTCATACCCCCTTCCATACCCGTTGCATGCCCCCATGACCATGTGCTGAGGCTGGACTGTCAGCGCTATTGTATTAATAATGGTTCACACTGTGTTACGTCTTGGGATAAAACAGACTGTCAGCACTCATCCACCCAGCTTCATTCAGTAGTAGGGAACCAGTGTGCGATGGTGAGGGCTCTGGGCGTCCTTCCCAGCCTCCCCCGCCTCCCACAGCCACCAATCCAGCGTGACGCTCGTGATGCCCGGCAGGCTGGGCGCCAGCGCCCCCCGCATGAGCTCCACGGCCTCCACAGTCGCCGCCCTGATCTCCACCTCCGCCTCGCCCCCTGCGGGCAGCTCCCTCCCAGCATCCACGGCCTCGGCCAAGGCGGTGGCGTAGTGCAGGATGCCCATGGTACGCAGCTGGGCCGGCACGCGATAGTCGGCAAACATGGTCAGGCGCTGCACGTCGTGGAAGGCGCCCGGGCCGCCGCCCCCAAACGCGCCCCAGACGTCCGCCACGAAGATCTGGGCGCGTTTGTAGAAGAAGACCTGCCGGCCCCTGGGGGAGGGGCCGGGGGGGGAGCGAGGTTGTTTGGTGGGCAGGAGTGCAGGGAGTGGAGAGCCGGCGGAATGGTGCCTCCCGCAGCGTTGGGGTGCAGGCTGGGCCGGGAAGCAACGCCCTCTCCTCAGGACCCTTGCAGCACAGACTTCGGCCCCGGGACGCACCGGTACACCGCTTGATCCCGGAACCCGGGAAAGGCCTCGACCACGAGGTCCACCAGGGCTGCGGCCGACTGCTGCGCGGCTGCCACCAGACCGGTCACCTGGCCACCATGCCGCCTCAGACCCTTGGGGATCTGGCGACGTGTGGAGGGCAAGGGCTGAGGGAACTTGTGATGGATCACCAGGCACGCAGGGTGGTTTTACGCGAGGAGGGCACAGCATCACCGTCCCAACATGGTCAGGTCCAAGGGCACTCTGGGAGGCCGGTTGCAACAGCACAGTCCCTCCATGTGACCCACCTCCGCCAGAAAGCGCGCGCGCTCGTCGGCCAGGGGTACAGGGCACTCTCGCCCAAACAGCCGCTGCACCATGGCGGGCGTGGCGCCGGCCAGGCTGTCATCAGACAGCACCTGGGGGTCCGCCTCCAGACAGGCCTGTGCTGGGGGAAGAGGGGAGTGCAGCAGTGAGGAAAGTGGCCTGGGGGTGGCGTAGGGGCTTGTTGGGTTGATAAAGTGGTGTGATGTCCTCGCACATGAAAGTGGACTGTGGACAGGGCTTGTTCCTGTCGCCCCACAAGCAACACACACACATACCGCCAAGCCTGCGCTCCGCAGGCACCTTGAGGCCTGTGGCCAGGTGCTCGTACTCCAGCCCCGGCTCAGGCCAGAAGCAAAAATTAAGGGCGTCCAGTACCAGGCAGTACCGCAGTGTGAGCTCAGGGCGAAGTGTGTCCCGGAAGTGCACCCTCGTGTCCCAGGCGGCGGGGCCCACCAGTCTGGCTGCGTGGGAGGCTCTGATGGAAGCCGCTACCGCCGCGATGGCTGCAGTGTGATGGAGAAGGGTGGGAAATGGGCGTGGTGGCCCGCTGCGGTTCAGCACAGTCTATGCAACACTGGCACTGCTCAAACCCCCATGCTGAGTCAAGACAAAGCAGCCTCTGCCCATCATGCTTCCCATCTGAGCTCCCACGGAGGCAGAGTGAGTGCCTGCCGGCGTGTCACTCCGGCGACGCACCTGGCTTGCTGATCTGCACGTGGGTGCCGACCCGAGCCACTGCAGCGGCACTCTGCCGCACCATGTCGCAGCAGCAAGGCATGGCGGCTGAAGCGGCTGTTTTGGAGTGCTGCAAGGGGGGTTGGCGGTGCATCCTGATGCCTCGGGCATCGAGTGATGTTGGGATTGAGGCGCCTTCAAGATCCATGATGTTGCTTCCCTGATACACCCAAGTAGGTCCACTCCTTTGACATGCACATCGAGCACAATGAAGCTACAATGGCCCACGGTGTCATGTGTCTCAGGATTTATCCACGAAAAGGTGCAGGAATGGAGCCGGTGCTCACCGATTTGCAGACACCGTGCCACTGGGAGACCTAGCCCGAGACAAGGAATGCCCAGCTAGGCATCGCTGTCCATCTGAATGGGATCGAAGCGCAAGGACAAGGCATGCTGTGCATAAGCACCGTTGCCCCGACGGTCTTCTTCAAGCCTGGGATATTCTCGCTCTCGGGAGTGGCACAACCTGTCGACGCCAGTGATCCATCACGTGGACGAATGGGCGCATGACCGTCACTGGTGCGCATACCACGATGAAAACCTCATGCATGCCTCCTGGGCTCCCTCATTCTACTACAACTCTCCTTACATTGCATCGAGTGTAATCTCGATCAATACAAGGGTCGACTCGGCCCAGGTTGCTGACCAATGACAACAGCATTCCTCACCACTCGTGCATGTCCATGCACGCCGCAAAGTTTTCAGGGGGCGACATTGAATCATTGCAGGACACTTCTTACCTCGTCAGGATCTCGCCGTCGAGGCAACGCCATGGCCATGCGGGTGGCCACTCGTGAGGTCCTCACCGGTTCCCAGCGGCAGAAGATGGACCCCAGCGATGACACGATGTTCTACGACAGTCCAAAGATTGTGCAACATGTCGATGACGGGTTCAGAGCCCAGCTCACACAGCTGTACCGGGAGAGGCTTCCCCCAGGGGGCACGATGCTGGATCTCATGAGCAGCTGGGTGAGCCACCTCCCCCCAGAAGTGACCTACGCCAAGGTAGTGGGCCACGGCATGAATGCAGAAGAGGTGAGGAGAGGTTTCAGTGGAGGACTATTGTGATTTGTCAAAGAAATTATGTTGACAAAGCCGCCTCGCCTCTGGAGCTTCCTAGGGAGGTCAACGAGAGAATAAGTAAAAGTGCCAGCCTTGTTTATCTCCATGCAGCTGTCGCGCAACCCCCGCCTGGACTCCTTCTTCCTCCGGAACCTGAATGTGGATCCGACGGGCTGGGCGCTGGCAGACAACTCCCTTGATGCCGTGCTGTGCACTGTCAGCGTGCAGTACCTCCAGCAGCCGGAGCGGGTGTTTGGGGAGGTACTGCGCGTGCTGAAGCCAGGGGGCGTGTTCATCGTTTCCTTCAGCAACCGCATGTTCTTCACCAAGGTTAGTTGTGCTTTGTTGTTTGGAGTGCGTCCATGACTGGGAATGGGGGGTCATAAGGGAGTGGTTTGGTCTCATAACATGCTGCTGTGAGCTGTGAGAAGGCAGGGTGGAAGAGAGATTCAACAGGTAAAGCACCGCCGCCATTGCGATACCTTTCCACCCAAGTTTCAGCAGCACCATGCGCTCCTACCTCCTGTTCCCAGGCAATTGCCGCTTGGAGGGACGGCACGGACTACAGCAGGGTGAGGGGATACTTGAAGTGGCAGGAGAGGGAGCTGTGTGGTTTGCCCTCTGAGCCTGTCACTGCTTTGCGCTTTGGAGGGGAGTGTCGTATGGATGGCCAGGCCGCGCGGAGGCCCAGCCCTGTCGATCGCTCTTGTCCCTGCACCCACCCCCTCCCAGATCCAGCTGGTGAAGCAGTACTTTGGTGCCTGTCCGGGGTACGAGCAGCCAGAGGTGATCAATCGCGTCTCTGTGCCCGAGGACCCCTCCCTCCTGGGCAAATTCTGGACGGCGGCCGGTGCCTTGGGCGGCGGCATGCACGACCCCTTCCATGCGGTGCTGGCGCAGAAGAAGATGGAGGCCTGACCTGGCCGGGGCAGAGGTGCCAAGCTCATAGGAACAGCATTAAGATCTGGTGGCGTGCATTTGGCTTCGGCAAGTGTGCTGCCTCCTCTCGGCGCCGAGCTGGAGGCATCGGCAGCTTGGGGCGCGGCAGCCCAGCATGGCAGCGCAGTCATCCTTGCCTACCCCTCCTCGCCCTCCTCTCTGATGGGGTCCCTTCGATGCCCAACCCCCCACTCTGCCGCCTGAGTTGCAATCGCCATGGCCAGCCATGCTGTTTCTGAATCCAGACCTGGGGCAACACACTGCAGACAGAGCCGGGGAATATCCTGCATGCTTGGCAAGCAGGGTGGCCTGGGCAGCTCATCACTCCGCACTGCAGTAACAGCCAAAGGGGGAGGAGGAGTTGGGGATGGGGGAGGAGTTCTTGAGAATGCTACCCCAAAAATTAACCCGGCCAGACATCCCATGGAAGGGTGCCAGGTGTTCCCTCACCGCAACAGCCCGAGGGTGCCATGATGGCAGCACTTCCCGTCTGGTCCTTACCAAGCCCACTTGACCGACACCCCAACCCCAGCGCATACCCCAAGCCAACAACCAACATCCTCACATGTCGTCGTCGTCTGCGTCTGGCAGCGGCATGTTGGCGGCCTCGGTCAGCTGCCGCTCGTACTCCTGCTGCTGCTGCAGGTCGATCTGGACCTCGGGGGGCGCCAGCGCCACCTGCTCCACAAAGTGCAGGTTGGGGTCCCCCACCAGCTTGCGGGCCAGGTACAGGAAGGGCTTCTCGTAGTTGTAGTTGGACTTGGCGCTGATCTCATGGTACTGCAGGTTCTTCTTGCGGTGGAAGGTGACCTGCTTGGGCTTGACCTGCCGGTTCTTCACGTCCACCTTGTTGCCGCAGAGGACGATGGGGATGTTCTCGCAGACGCGGCACAGGTCGCGGTGCCAGGTGGGCACGTTCTTGTAGGTCAGGCGGGAGGTGACGTCAAACATGATGATCGCACACTGGCCGTGGATGTAGTAGCCGTCACGCAGGCCGCCAAACTTCTCCTGCCCGGCCGTGTCCCAGCAGAAGAAGCGCAGCTTGCCGCGGTTGGTGGTGAAGTCCAGGGGGTGCACCTCCACGCCGATGGTCGCTGCAGGGGAGGTGAGATGGTGGGCTTGTGAGGGGCGTGAGTTGTGGAGCCGAGGGGTGAGTGGGCCCATGGACACACATCTGGCGCAGGGGTGGTTACCAGTCCAGATGCAGGGCAGGCTGGGTAGCAGTGCACTCCACAATCCAATACCAATGCAGACAGTGGTGCTGTGGGGATCAGGTGAGTGCCGACGAAGGACTTGTGAGTGATCATCCGCAGAAGCTTCTCCCATGAACACCACACCAGCATGCCCATCCTCTTCATTCCCCAGCATACCCAGCGCCAAGCCAGTCACTCACGCTCATACTTCTTCTCGAACTCTCCGGTCAAGTGGCGCTTGACGAAGGTGGTCTTCCCTGGGGTGTGGCGGGGGGAATGGGCGGTGTGATCTTAAACTCCACTGCCGGGCAGCTGAATTCAAACTGAGCCCACGCACCTGTGCCGCCGTCTCCAACCAGCACCAGCTTGAAGGCTGGCACACCGTCGGGGGTGGTCTGCCCGGGCAGAGCCTGCGATCGCGGCCAAAGTGGGGGAGGGATGAGAGGCGAGCGATCCCTGCGGCTCCCACTGGGACAGCTTTGAGAGCGGAACGTCTCTCCCAGTGCCACCCTTGCATGTTCCAGAAAGAGTGGCACGCCGCTGCCGCTCATGGGATGCTCGCCCTCTCCTTCCAAGACTCACCATCACAACCTCGGGCACCGGCTACACCACGGCTGCCACACACACGAAACGGACTGCCTGCAGCCTGCTTTGGCCACAGACCAGATGTGGGCTTGCTAAAGGGATTGAAGGATGGGGCGAGAGGGAGGTGGGGGCGTCAGGTGGACGAGTTGCTGGCATGCATGGCGCACGGGCAAGGGGCAGCCAATGTTCGAGCCCGGGGTGCCATCTCGCTCCAACTGGGAGCGAGACCCGGGGTTGAGTGTGCAAGACGATCGAGGCATCGATGGTCCATCCGACAATGCAAATGAACCAGAGATCGTCGCGATGGTGGGATGATCTGCTCATCCAGCTGAAAGGCACCGGTGGAGTGCCTTGGAGAGGCACTCGCTGACATCCTGCTCCCGTTCGAGTGCGAGCATCAGGTGCGTGCCTGCAAGGCCCTGCAGCAAGCGCCGTAGACCACGACTGGTCATGTTTTCAGCGTCAGGGTGCGCCTCATGTTGTAAAAGGGGCCTGCGCACGCCCCTTCCCCCTAAGCTCTCGCCGATCAACCCACCGCAGAACGACACAGCGAGGCACCCCGCTGCAGGCCCTGGCCGCGATGGCAGTAGCCTCGGCTGAGGGCGTGAGCCTGGCGGGCTTGCTGGAGGAGTCTGGGCCCGGGGCGGACGCCCCCGCCCTGCTGGCCCGGCTCCCCCCACCCACCGACCGGGCGGTGGCGGAGGTGGCGGGCCTGCTCACCGCCAGCCCCTCCACCTGGGACGCCGAGGCCCTGGGGTCGGCCCTGCACGCCGCGGCCCCCTCCCTGTCGCTGCTGGGCGTCGCCCAGGCGCTGCAGGCCGGCGCCCTGCCCCCGCCCCCCAGCCCCGCCGGCCTGCGTGCCCTGGTGTCCTTCTGGCACGGCCTGTCCGGCGGCGGCGCCTTCCCCGTGGACGTCCTGCTGGGCGGCGCCGCCTGGCCCCGCGCCGACGCGCACGCCGCG